GTCTGTCTGTCCACCTCAGATGGGGTGGATAATCGGAATTCACTTTTATTTGTTTTTCCAACTTTTCACCCCTAGTACAGTTCAACACATCATAAACTTTAATTATTAATTAATTTTTAATAACCACAAACCTTATCAAAATAATCCTTATTATATTATAAAAATAAATAGTATAAACGGAATAACCCCCTTTTAAATTAAACAAATGAACTTGTATTAAATTATATAATTGTAATGTTTTTATATTTCTTTTACAGCAAGCACAACATACAGCAGCTATGAGTACTATATCTGATATAGATTTGCCAGCTCGTTATCGTAGAGCACCTCTATCCCAAGAAGAGATAGACCATATTAATGGTGGTGGAGTTGTATAGTACCTCCTTTTAATTAATTTATAGTTTGTTTCTAAGTAGTGATTTAAAATGTGTATGATAAAAGTATTCATTGAATTTTAGTGTTGGACTTAATCATTGCTTGTTATATTTGCATTTAAAATTACAGTCAATTATGTTGCCTGTAGATAAAATTTTGTTTGCAAGTATTTACATTGTAATATAAATAAATATCTAAGTAATTTATTCTTTTATTTGACTATCACATTCACTAATTAGTATATTCATCATACTAGGCTGCACTAAAAGTATCGGGAATGGAATATTTCCACTGTTTCTGTCATATTAAAATCTTTTCAATTGAAAACTCCTTGGTTTTAAAAATCGAATACCATTTATTTATTTAAAAAAAAGATTCTCGGTCATGTCACAAGGTTTTGTCAAACTTGTTTAGTTGTTGAGAAAATGGAATTGACTCGAGAAAATTCAAGAACGATGATTTATTATGACTTTCGAAGTCGTTTAACACAAAAACAGTGTGTTGACCGGATGATTTCTGCATTTGGTGATGAAGTGCCATCCAAAACCACAGTTTATCGCTGGTTTGCTGAATTTCAACGTGGACGTGTCAAGCTCAGTGATGATCCCCGTCAAGGTCGTCCAAAAACTGCAGTCACCCAAGAAAACGTTGATGCTGTGCGTAAGCTGATTGAGGAAAATCGACATGTGACATACCGCGAAATTCAGGCAACTTTAGACATTGGCATGAGTCAAATACAAATAATCTTGCATGAACAATTAGGTGTAATAAAATTGTTTTTTTCCGATGGATACCGTATTCGCTCTGTGAAGAGCAAAAAGCGGCTCGCGTTACTTGGTGCGTCAGAACTCTCGAAAGATCCCACGCAGGATCCTCAAATGCTGTATACAACATCGTATCAGGTGACGAATCCTGGATATATGCGTACGAACTCGAGACAAAAAACCAGTCACGAGTTTGGGTGTTTGAAAATGAGTTAAAGCCAACAAAAATTGATCGTTCACGGAGTGTTGCAAAAAAAATGGTGGCCAGGTTTGTCTCCAAAACCGGCCATGTTACGGCTATTCCTCTTGAGGGACAAAGAACGGTTAATGCAGAATGTTATGCTAGCATTTGTTTGCCACAGGTCGTTTTTGAACTCCGTAATGAGAACTGGAACCGCCGCATCATCCTCCATCACGACAATGCGAGTTTTCACACCGCACACAGAACAAAAGAGTTTTTAGAGCAAGAAAACATAGCATTATTAGACCATCCGCCGTACAGCCCCGACCTAAGCCCTAATGATTTCTATACTTTCCCTAAAATAATGAATAAATTGCGTGGACAAAGATTTTCATCACCTGAAGAAGCTGTGGACGCCTACAAAACGGCCATTTTGGAGACCCCAACTTCCGAATGGAATGGTTGCTTCAATGATTGGTTCCATCGTATGGAAAAATGTGTCAAATTTCGCGGAGAATACTTCGAAAAGCAATAAATACATTTTTAAATAGTAATGTTGTGTCACTTCCTTGATTCCCGAAATTTTTAGTGCCGCCCTCGTAGATAATATGTACAATTGTTTAATATAAAATCAGATTATTCCTAACAAGGGCACCTAAATCTTAATAAGGAAAGAGTATGGTCTATGCATGGTCCAAGATTCGTGATTAAAGCTTTTTTACATTAGAACTAACATTCTAAATTCAAAATAGTTTTGACAGTGTGACGTCTATTGTATTGAATTTCAATTGTTTTTATACTCAGCATTAGAGAGACGGAGTTAGTGTATGTGGTTATATTATACCATATTGTATATTACAGTTGTGAGACCCAGATAGTGTCGCCTAACAGCAGCTGGTACTGCAATCTGGTGCTGCTAAGCGTGGCAATTATGGAAAATGCAGTAGACAGTAGACTTGGGGTGACGAGAATCACAGAAGATTTTTACTGTTACTGATAATCAGGCATTTCATCGTTATCCTTAGGAGTGATAATGTATCTGCATTTTGAATTTTAATCGAGAATAGATGTAGGTGTCTTTTTATTATAAGATAGGGTGACAAACAAGCACAGTCCACTTGATGTTAAGTGGTTGCTGTCAGCCATAGACATCTACATCTATCCTCAATTACAAATCAAAATGCAGATGCGATCACACATGAGGACTAAGATGGAATGCCTCAATTCCAGTAAAAATGGTCTCCGGTTCTCTACACTCACCATACGAAACAGTAGCGTTAAGCTGCCACTTATGCTGGTATTCTGTGAGACTGTGATCCTTCCCCGGTCCAGCTGGCCCATTCATGCTACAGCTATACTACTACTTCTTCATTTCAAGAATGCCGTTACCTCCCGCCGCGCTCCCTCACTCCGTGCCGCAAGCGTCGCCTTATTAGTACCGATAGCAGCACCTTCGTAATGTTTTACATATTCGAAATGTTTTAAATGTAAAATAAAACTATAAAAATTTAATTATAAGATTGTAATTGTATCGGACACGTTCCTATTCACTGTTATTATTTCACTTTACTAAGTAAATTTTTTATAATATGCATTTTGTATACTTGTTTGCTCTTAATTTCTGTGTATAGGACAACAAACTACTTACCTAGTTTTGCTCAATTTAACAAAAAATAGTCATCATGTTTATGCGATATTCTAGATAAACATGATAATTTTTTTTGTCTACGGTACCGTCAGCTGTGATATCATAACGGTCGACGACGGCAAACTTGAAATGAACGCGTAGTACTAATATAGCTGCAGTATGGCTCTACTATGTTAAAAAATTATGGATCATAGTAGGTACCCCACCATCTGTTGGGCTGTGTGCTGGTTTGTCAACCTTATTTGCTATAATGGTACAGGCCCATGTCCAGCGATGAAGAGGGAGATATGGCAAATTTGAAACTCTTACCGATGCTGGAAGTACCGTCCCAGCTGCAAAACGTCTGAAACGGTAATCGCCAAACTGGTTGCCAATTGATGGCGTGCGAAATTCGATAAATCTTCGCTAAAATAGTAGAGGTCCATTTCCAGGGTTGCTCTATTAAAGGCTAGTAAAGAAAAACGATTTGTCATTGCCTAGTTTGATCCTTGCAACATTTGGATTTTAAAACCTGGATTCATTCGAAAACAATACCTACTCTTTATCAACAAGCATCGATATCCATCGATACGAGGGTAGGTCAAAAAATTCGCGGAATGACAGGGAAGGATGAAATGAAACATTAAACTAAGTATCTTTAGCTTTTTCAATGTATTCTCCCTTAACTCTACATTGTTGATGTTAAGTGGTTGCTGTCAGCCATAGACATCTACATCTATCCTCGATTACAAAAAATGTTGTAGCATTTATTAAATCTGTCAACTTATTAATACCGTCTAAAAAAAGATTTGTCTTGGGCGTCAAAAATAGGCCGAAATTGCCGACTTCACTTCATCATCGTCGCCACATTTTTTCCCACGCAGTTCTTTCTTCATTTTTGGAAACAAATAATAGTCGCTTATGGCCAGGTCCGGACTATACGGTGGGTGGCGCAGTTGTTCAAAATCTCACCGGTGAATGGCAGCCGCGACCAACATGACTTGTGTGCACAGGCGTAAAGTCGTGCAAAAGGAGCACGCCTTTTGTAAGTTTTCCTCGCCTTTTTTCTTTAATAGCTTCTTTTAATTGATCTAGTAAAGAAGCGTAGTATTCTCCCGTTATGGAAACACCACGTTCCTTATAATCAATCAAAAGGATACCTTCTGTATCCCAAAAGATCGTCGCCATGATCTTTCCGGCCGGTTGTAACACCTTATATGTGGTAAAGGGTGCGCCTTTTTTTTATGTCATTGCATCGATTCTTACTTTGACTCAGGTTCATCACGGTGAACCCAAGTTTCATCGCCAGTTGCAATTCGGGCAATAACTTCCTCCCTTGGCCCTCCACAGCGGTCCAAAAACGCTCGACAACTTTCGACGCGTTCGTGTTTTTGATGCGCGGAAAGCATTCTCGGAACTTTTTCGATTAATTCTGGCGTGGTAGCCTCAATCGGCCGTCAAAGTCGGGGTCGTCTTCAATGGAGTCCCTTCCTTGTTTGAAAAAAGCGCGTCATTTTAAATCATGATTTTCCCAGGAGGGAAGTCCTCATTATCAACTGACTGCTCTAGAAAAATGGTTTGAGGTGTCTTTTCTTATTTGGTGAGAAACTTGATAAATATTTAATTTTCTCCACAGTGGCTAGTTTCTTTCCGATTAGGTTGAAACTTGGTATTATACTGACAATGAGTCACTCAAATGGCGCCTACCTGGATGAATAAACTCACCCTCTCCAAACAAGCCATTCCGCGAACTTTTAACCTCCCCTCATATAAGTAAGTAGATATACGAATTTGTGAAATTGATAGCAAATAGCTAAGGGTGAAACACCTGGTATTTTATTCTTAAATATTTATTATTAGGAAGATGCTGCTGCCCATCTCAAGGGATGATATGGGGTAGTGTCCTCTCTTGCTGCCATTAAACAGTATCATCCATCAGTGGCGGCCCTAGGGCGGTGCGAGCGGTGCCACCGCACCGGGTGCCGTCGTCGGAGGGCATCGAAATCAACCGAAACGCTACCACCAGGCACCGGTCACCCATTCACTTACTTTTATCACTAACATTCCGTTTTGTTGACGCTAATTAGGACGTCAAAGCACGAGTATTTTGCTGCTTACACTTTTTAATCCATATGGTTGAACCAACGAAGTCCCCTCCACTACGGTGGCGACCATGGTAAAGGTGTGGCAGGGGGTGCTAAGAATCTCCGGTGGAGGTTCGGCTGCCACCTAAGACGACTCGACCTGGCAATGCAACGCACGCACCCTGAGGACTGACGAGAAGACCCTGGAGCTGGAAGAAGAGATAGACAAGTTGCGCTGGGGTATTATAGAATTATCTGAGGTCTGAAGAGAGGGGGAAGACACGGTAATCCTAGAATCCGGCAACTTGTTGTCACCGGGAGGGCGACCATCTGTCCCAAGGAGGTGTCGGTTTTATCGTCCACAAGTCTATCGTTAACAACATTGTGAAGATTGGGAGTATGTCGATGAGGGTTGCGTACCTTATACTCAATCACCAAACGGTATTCGCTGAAGGTTATACAGGTTTAGACACCAACCTCGGCACATCCCGATAAGGAGGTAGAGGTAATGTATGAGAATATCTCGAGAGCCATAGATTCCTCCAAAATCCAATATACGATGTTAATGGGAGACTTCAACGCAAAACTAGGCACAAGAGAGAACGGTGAGCTGAAAGTAGGGGAATTCGGAATAGGGCAACGAAACCCTAGGGGCCAGCAGCTGGCCGACTTTATGGAGAAAGAGGGACTCTTTATGATGAACTCTTTCTTCCAAAAGCGGCCCCACAGAAAGTGGACCTGGTCGAGCCCCGACGGTTCGACAAAAAATGATATTGATTTCATTATGATGACTAGACGACAACTGTTCAGTGATGTATCAGTGATGGCAAGGGTGAAAACTGGCAACGATCACCGAATGGTGAGAGACACACTGAACCTAAACGTGAAGTTGGAGAGGTAACGTCTAATGGAGTTTACGCTCTGCCCCCTCGTGCTTTAATACGAAGCCCCGAAAACTTTCAGCTCGAGTTACAAAATCGTTTTCAGTGCCTCGAAAACTGCAATGAAGTGGACGATATAAATGACAAGCTTGTGGAAACTAGAGATGCCACGAATATTCGGCAACTATTCGGTATTCGGCCTATTCGGCCACTTTTTTGCTATTCGGTATTTGGCCGAATAGTACGTACTATTCGGCCGAATACCGAATAGCAAATAATGTAAGAAAAGACACGTTGTTTTACTCAAAATTATGTATTTATTTCCAAATTACAACATTTTAGTAGTTAAAATTAATCAGTGGTAAGTTGTGATGGATAAAAACGAGCTTTTTCGGAAATTCCACAAAAAACTTCACCGAGCTAGGCGAACTGTTTTCGAATAAAAATCCAACTCGTTTGCCACAGCATTCTTTTCCATGTTCTCCTCATCATTAGCATTTCCCATATTATCTGCAGCGACTTCTTCAAAGCAGTTCCAGAAACTGTCGTGTATTTCAACTTCAACAGTCCTATCATTTTAATTCAAGTTTCTTTTCTTATGCGCTGGAGAAGAATCGTCATCGGTACTACTTGGTTCATCACAACTTTTTTTAGTGCTTCTAGAAGAATTTTTTGTCCTGCTCTTTCTGCTTGAACCAATCCTAGAAAACTCGTTTTAAAGCGAGGATCCAGAAAAGTAGCAACCAGATATTTGTTTTTATCATCGAAGCTGAATCGCCTTTCTAGCTCGGCCTGCAGTGAAGATCTCATCGTGACTAAATTAGGTACTTTCTCAGCTGTCTCTGCTTTTCCCAGATATTTTAATAAAGTTACTGCATGTGGAATCACTTCAGAGATGCAAGAGATACCTGAGCTAGTTATTTTCGTTATTTATTCGAATGGTTTGAGGAGTTTGATACATTATTCCAATAGTTCCCATTGAGCATGTGTCAGATTTATTAAAGTTTCTTGATCTGTTATGTACTAGGAGACAGCTCGCTTTTGTTCTAATAATCCGAATATTCGGCCGCCGAATATTCGGCGCTTCGGCCGACAGCGTTGCCGAATATTCGGTATTCGGCCAATTCACTATTCGTGACATCTCTAGTGGAAACCGCCCATGCGGTCGGAGCTAACTTCTGTAAGACCCGTCGCAGAAGAACACAAAAACTCTCCGATCACACTCTTAATCTCACGGCTGTTAGACGGAAGATGAAGCTGCAGTCGTCAGCAGATTTGACAGCATACGGGCAATTGAACAGACAGATCTCCAAATGCATGCGGCGGGACTTACGCAACTTTTCCAGCCCCCCAAAGAAGCCAGTTTCCGAAAAGGCTTCAGTACCAAAGACCCTGCGGCAGATTGTGCAGAAGTCCGAAGAATACAACCTACCACTTTGTCTTGCGTATGTGGACTATGAGAAAGCCTTTGATTCCGTCGAAGTTTGGGCGGTGCTGCAGTCCCTTCAGAGTTGACTGTCGGTATATCGAAGTGCTGAAGTGTTTGTACAATAGGGCTATATGGCTATCCGAGTACAGAATCAGAGTACGAAACCTAGCCAACTGCAGAGAGGTGTAAGACAAGGTGACGTAAAATCCCCGAAACTCTTTACTGCTGCATTGGAAGACGTTTTCAAGATAACGGACTGGAAAGGATACGATATTAACATCAATGGCGAGTACATCACTCACCTTCGATTTGCCGACGATATAGTCCTTATAGCAGAATCGCTGGAGGACCTTAGCACTGTGGTCAGTGACCTCAATAGTGTCTCCCAAAGGATAGGTCTTAAGATGAACATGGACAAAACGAAAGTCATGTGTAATGTCAATGTCACACCTATGCCGGTGGTTGTTGGGAGCACTTAGCTGAAGTTGATGACGAGTATGTTTACCTGGGACAAGTAGTCCGACTAGGCAAGTCCAACTTCGACCAAGAAGTCAATCGACGGATTCAATTCGGCTGGGCAGCGTTCGGGAGATTGCGACACATCTTCTCGTCAGGCATACCTCAAAATCTCAAAACTCGATTGTACAATCTGTGCGTGTTGCCAGTGATGACCTATGGATCTGAGACGTGGTCCTTCACTGCTGACCGTATAAGGAAGCTCAAAGTCGCTCAGTGAGCTATGGAGAGGGCTATACTCTGAGTTTCTCTGCGTGATAAACTTAGGAATGAGGTTATCCGCAGTAGAACCAAAGTAACCGACATAGTCCAACGGATTAGTAAGCTGAAGTAGCAAAGGACCGGCCACATAGCTCGAAGAACAGATAACCGACGGGAAAAACAGGTTCTCGAGTGGCAGCCTCGTACCGGCAGGTGAAGTGTAGGGCGTCCCCCCACTAGATGGAGTGACGGCCCGGTAAGACATCCAGGAAGTCGATGGAAGCAGGTGGCTCAGGACCGTGCTTTGTGGCATTCCTTGGGGGAAGCCTATGATCAGCAGTGGACTTGTGAAGGGCTGTAATGATGATGATGATGAATAAGAATTATGTGTTTTTTTTGAGTTCCTAGTATAATTTTGTGATAAATGAAATAACGACAAAAAGTAAAAAGATTTTATTTTCGATCTCATTGATAATTTTTTTTACAGAATGATCCCAAAACATCTTCCCCGAAACATCAAATATTATTTGCACTTAAAATACCAAAAAAGTTAGTAATACAGTGTCACAAGAAGAAAAATGAAATAACCTTTAAAGTTGAGAAAAAGGAATGTAACTAAACTAGGCAAACCAAAATTTTGTATCAGTTTTCTGTGCGCCTATATTAAATTTGTTCAAAAATCCTTTTTTATTGTAATAAACATCAGTAACAACCTTATTGATTTATTTTAACATAACTTATTTAGGTGTATAATCAACATATAAAATGTATATTATATACACTAGAGAAATAACGAGAAATATCCTAATAATATCTAATGTTAAGTTTTTCCGTCTGGCTGGACCACATTTGTGCAGTCTCCCCATCATAAGCACCATCACTGTTGCATACGAATTTTATTACACCAAAAGGTGCAAACTTCTGTTTCCATTGTGCTGTTTGAGGCAGGGTCAAAAGTGCATGTGTTATAGCCTTTTTAGTTTCATCTGGAGAAAAAATGCAATTAGAATATTTGTTCGGTAAATAAATCAAAGCAAGCAATGTCCTTGATTTAAAATTGTGTACCCACCTGCTAGTTTTGAATTAACAACGATAGGATATGGTGGTAGACGACCCAAAGTTTCTAACGTAATTATGTCTTTTCCTCCGTCATACATAAATTTCTTTGAATATAAAAGAGTTGTAGAGTCAACTGCCGCCCAATCAGCTTGTTTCGAAAGTACCATTTGCGCTGAAGCCAAGTGCGAGCCGGACTCTGTAATTATTTGATACGTATTAAATATTCTTCTATGTATTAGAATTAAAATTCTACTATATAGGTATTAGATATTATTAATATACCAAACTACAAATCATTAATGTATTAAAAATTGTATAAAGTACTTAATAGCGATCCAAAAAACGATGCATTTTCTCCTTTCTCTTTTAATGTTTTCAGTATAATTTTGCTTCCACTAAGAGATTCTTCATCGCTATAGGCGAAAGTACATCCTCGAAGGTCTAATAATGTGTTAACATTATGAGCTCTGGAATAAATAACTATTTGTTTATTATACGGAAAAATACTAAAAACAATGCTAGTTGGAAGTCAATTGTGGAGTAATAGGGGCATTTGTTATCAGTAATACACGTACCGTAGCTGATAACATTAAATTTATCTTCGCAAGTATTGGTATGTAGGTGATGACGAAGGTCCAAACTTATTGGCTTTGTCAACGTACTTTTGTATGTTATAACATTAATTATTAATTTCGTTAAATGTTCAGAGTACATAGAGATAATAAGATAATAATAATAATTAATTATATTTTCATCACTTACAACGTTGCTACAAGCGTGGCAACAATGGCAAACTTTTCCCCATGAGCATGATCAACGACTTAAAGAAAATACCTGGAATCCCCGACCCCAACATCAATACAATTCATATTGAACTTGCGATTGAGTAGAACCAAGGCTCCAAAATCTTTGCCAGACGTCTGTCTGCCGGAAAGAGCCAACTATCGGAGTTAAAGATCGCATGTCTGGCAGCGTATTTCCAAGAAGCTAGAAACTAAAGATTTTGAGTGAGATTGAGAGGTTCTACGTATTAAAATTTGACTGCCCTTCTTTATTGGCCAAAATAAACATTAAAGGTAAATTTCGTTTGCTCGCTCGTCCTCAACGCGTATTTCATACATTCGTACGTACACTTCGAAAAAAATATACGCAAAATTGCTTTATCTCCCGTTCGTTAAAATTTTACTACAATGAATTTGTAAATCTCGATCTCTTTAGTGGCTCCCTAAAAAGTCTTAAACGAACTATCTTTAAAAGTTATTTACATAAATACTTAATAGCATAACATTCGTTAACCTCTATAATGTGTTGTCAGTCTCTAAACAATATAGATCAAGTTATCTATTTTTAAGCGTAGCTGCACTGTTGTTGTAAATATTACTTTTTAGTTGTACACAATATAATGTTTCAACGAGCTTAATTGAAATAAGTGTTAGTCCAAATGTATTTTTCGGCACTCGTGTGTTTATTATGTAATGTTACTATATTGTACTTGCTATGTAATGACTGTTCGTGTCACAATATAAAAATAAAATAAAATAAAACTATACTCAAAGTCGTCGAAGCCACACGCAGTGTGAGTTATGAATTATGATTCAACTACAAGCTTCATTCGACACTATTCCCATAATATCCCGTAAGTCAGTCTGAGTGAGATAAGAATGGTTCTCTAGCTCCCCCAAAACTGACAACATTCACCTTTCGACGATATAGCAATTATGGCTGTACCTCTGGAGGACCTCAACACTATGCTAAATAACCGCAAAGATGTTTCTCAACGAATAGGTCTAATTATGAACATAGACAAGACCAAGATCATGTGTAATCCGATGTCACACCTACGCCTGTAGTTTACGCTAAAACTTGTTGATGAGTGTAACCTAGGACAAATAGACTGAACGTGTAAGTCCAACTTGGACCGAGGGGTAAAGCGACGGATCTAACTCAGTTGGGCAGCGTTCAAGATATTACACATTGTCATATGACACGTTGTCTTCATGTACCTTTATCTCTAAATTTAAAAACGAAGAGTATAAAACCAGTGATCACATATGAATCTTAGACGCGACCTACATTGCTGGCCGTTATTTGAATCTTGTAAGTAAGATCAAAGTCGCTCAGCAAGTTATGGAAGGGATTATGCTCGAAGTTTCCCTCCGTGATCGAATTCGTAATGGAGATATGCGAGTAGAATCGTGAATAACCGATATAGCCCAACGAATCAGTGAGCTAAAGTGGTACAAATAACTATTTGTACGTGTAGAAAAGACGTACAAATAGTTAAGTAGAACATAAAGCGACAGTAGCCTAATGGCAGGGCGCGGACCGCGAACTCAAAAAGGTCGTGGGTTCGAATCCACCATTCGACTACTGGCGTGAACCACTCGTAACGCAAGCAATTTAAGCTTACCACGAGTGGTTAAGGGGAATATTAGTAATGTTTATAGCATTGTTAATATTCTTTTATATTTTAAATAAAAAAAATCAATAGATCATATAGCTTCATCATAATCATTATTACAGCCCTTCACAAGTCCACTTCTGAACATAGGCCTCCCCCAAGGAATGCCACAAGGCACGGTCCTGAGCCACCCGCATCCGCTTATACAGCTTAAAAACTTAAAATACTGAGAACCGATGAGGAAAAAAGGTTCTCCAGGGGCAGCCTCGTTCCGGTAAGCGAAGTGTAGCTTGGCACCCCACTAGATGAAGTAGGAGGTGTAAGATGTCAATAGATGCAGTTGGCTCGGGACCAAGCTTTGTAGCATTCGTAGATAAAGCCGTCGAAGTCGACTTTATGTGGCTCCAACAGAATATCAGTGTTGCAATAACTCTGCTGTCATTATGCTGAATCGGTGGCATTTTTGTTGCTGCAATGCATTTTATTTAAATATTTGCTTAGTTTTCTTTATATAATTTATGTTCTGCAAGTTGCAACAATGAATAAATATGTCCTTTAATGGGATGCCACGATGATGAAGAATGATGATACTTATTACAGCCTATCACAGGTCGACAGGTTACCAGGTTAAGTGGCAATGAGACGACCGTATAATACAGTGAACCAATAACCGATGAGTAAAAAAAATTCTCGAACGGCAGTCTCATACCGGTAAGCCTAGGTCCCTCTAAATAGATTTCCCTCGAACGGATTCCCTTGTCGTGATAGGTTAAGCAGCCGTGGCTTGGTCACCCATGGTTAACGAAGAGGAGTTCACCTAGGTGAAGGGCTGTAAGAAGTGGGCGCTCGGAGTGCTCGTGCTCCTACCAATATGCGGCGATGGAGAAACACCGTGAAATCCGTTCCTTGTTTGTCTTTATGTGGAGTTCCTTATTACTCCGTACCACCTTAACCGACTCTCCTTAAGTACATCTGCCACGTCACGTACTCTCAAGACTACCCTGGATGTACTCGTTACGTATGTAGTCTCGCTTCGTAAAGTCACGCATCCAGCGCAGCATTTTCATTTCCATAACCCGGAGCTTCTGAATACGTCGGATAATGCTCTTGCACACTTGAGTTGAAGTCTCACGACTTACTCCAAGTTACGCCAATACAGGCTCTAACGTCGTAATCTATGTCCCCGGACTCACACAGTACAGATCCATATGGTATCTGCATTTCTGCGTTTTGAGAACGTATTCAGACCCTATTTTGATAGATTCGGGATCTGCACTAACACAATTCATGTACTCAATCTTGGCTACATTAAGGATCATTCCGTCGGTCTTAAGCATGCCTTTTCATAAATGCACATTTTTTTACGTGGTAGAGCCATGCTGCAGCCATATTTGCAGTATAGTTGTAGCACGAATGGGTTGGCTCGACCGGAGAAGGACCACGCTCTCACAGAATACCAGCGTAAAATAGCAGCTTAATGCTGCTGTTATTCGTATGGTGGGTGTAGAGAACCGGACACCCTTTTTACTGAAAATGAGGAATTCCACCCTAGTCCTCACGGGTGACAACGCATCTAAATTTTGATTCGTAGTCAGGGATAGATGTACATGTCTATGGGCCATAGCATCCACTTACCATTAACTGGACTGTGTGCTCGTTTGTCATCCTTAAGCTATAAAAAACACACTTCACTCTATGTTTCTCTTTTTATCGATTAGTACCATTACTAAGGGCTCCTTAAAATTGGTGCTGAAGGATTTGGAAATTGATCCAAATCCTTCAATTAAGATTTAAAAATTATCGATATACATCTAATTAAGCCTACCTAATTCAGTACCTACAATCAATCATCTTAAAAAAGTTCCTATTATTCCTGCTCAAATACAAAAAATAACTAATCAAAACGATAGGATCATTATTATTATCTTAGAAAAAAAGAAAGAATTATTTTTAAACGACTTCAAAAAAAGGAGGAGGTACTCATTTTGACAAAAATTTTTGTTTACCTCAGAACTTTTTTCTGGGTGGTCCGATTTTGATGATCTTTTATTATTTGAAAGTTGTTGCTTATCATGTGGTCATGTGGAATTTGATAACTAGTAGTTTTAGAGTTATCCTTAAACGACCTTCGACTAAATTGATTATGTTCTCATTTTGTT